GCACTTCGTCCACAGTTCTCCTAGGATACGAAGTATGTACATGTCATAAGAGACGAGACCGCAAGGGCAGGGTGCCAGCTACGGATATTCCACCCGATGACTATGGAGCATTCGTACGGATGCATACACAGTGGGCGCTGTCAATCTGGAAGCAGAGAACACATGACATTACGCAAGATTCTGGCCAAGTCAAGTCGAGACGAGGCGCGGCCCTCGGGACATGCAGGGCAAGGGCATGACTATGCGATTGCAGGGTGCATGTTGACAGGCAAACAGGGGTGACATCGGCAAGGGAGTTGAACTTCCATCTCGTACGCGGCATTTGCACGGCAGTTGGAGGGGACGAGAGGGTGCGCGCGCGCGCTTGGGAGTGCGTGGTGTGCGTGCGTGTGTGTGTGACCAAAGGAGCTGAGAGATGGGATTTCTTAGTTGTAAGGAGAAGGGCCAGAGAAGAGGCAGAGAACCCAACAGAGCAGCAAGGGCCGCTGACAGGCACGGGATGACATTGAGGTGAGAAAGAGAGGACGACAGGCGGCAGGGGTAGACGAGGGACTAGGTACCTATCATGGTTGGAAGTACGTACTGGCAGAACGTATGTACTGCAGCAGATCAGGGAGCCACGACGCAGGGGCTTGCATGCGCAAGAGGTGGGGATCCAGGTTCCAGGTTGCCCGAAAGGCACAAACTTGGAAGTACGTACTGTTTTTCAAGTCCCCTCTCTTTCCAACTTCCCATTTCCATTTCCATTCTCGAAGCATGGGCGACGACGATACATATTACTTGACAAGATACCATGCTGATGCAAGGCAAGGGCCCTACCTACGATTCCTTCAGGCCTCCACGATGCCGTGGCCGCGGGTGTTTTCCTGGCCCTTATCTGTCTCTAACACAACTCTGTCGGTCTGTCGGTCTCTTCCACGCCCTGCCTTATGATGCGTGACCTTCCTGGCTCCAATGGCACCTAATCCTGGCTGAGCCTGGCGGTTGTGAAGCTGATTGGTTGTAAGATTCGTTCGTACCTTGCAGGTGTGAGCTGGTGTCGTGGAATGGCCAATGCTGGGCGGATAGTCAGGGGTTAGCACTTTACACTTCACACAACCTAACTCAACGCCATCGACCATTGCCAGCTACCACACCGTACGCACACCGGGTCAAGGCTCATTTAACAATGGTGTCGCCGACTCGCCGTAATTCATAGCATGCCAGCAGTCATGCAACGAAACACATGGCTAAAGTTGTGTGCCAAGTCACGAACAAGCACTTCTGCTGTACAGAATACGGAGCACTCTCTAAGACACGACACGCAAAGGGAAGGGTATCCGAAGAGGGGAAACTTTATGGCGCGCCCATCCAGGGGATGATTCCAGGAGTGCTTCTCTTATACGATGTAGCCGTAGCCGACGTGTCTTTTCTTAGACCTGAATTCTTTAGACGACGCAGAGGCACAAGCAAAGATGGTGTTCTTGTGTTTCTTGTCTGTTCTTGTCATTTCCATCCACCTAGATATCAATAGCATTTGCGCGTATCCTGGGGCACAGTCCGTCTGTGTCGGTACGAATATGTCAGAGCCAACACCCACCCGGGGTTTGATTGACAGTGCTAACTGCACCGACAGGATGTTCTCGTCTGTCCAGTGGCAGGCACGCAGGCTGGCAGCGAGGGAGGGAACTTACCTTACCTAACGCCATACCTTACAGGTAGGCGTAGGTATGTGAATACCTACGTTGGAAGAGGAAAGAAAAAACGATCTGAGAATCCACTTTTTCAGAAAGCCTCTGAAACAAGCCGCTCCCAAGTCCAAGGCTGCGCTAAGCCAATCAAGGCGGAGCCCCGGCGGAGCTTCTCACGGGTGACGGGGATGCTTAGGTAGCGGCGCTGGACCACTAGTGTACGTACTTATGATATCCTAAGATACGCTGCAGGTACCTCAACCGGCCGGCTGCGACTGCCCTACTGCGAAAACAGCCGATGCCCTACCCTGTTTTTCCCCATCATCCCACCATCCCACCAACACTGCAAACTTCTGACTTGGCACCACCGGCCTTGATCTCCGAACAGCCAATCTGTTATTAAGATACGCGTCCAATCGCGCAAGTCGAGATGGGAAGACGCAGGAGCTGGTACCTGTGCGTCTCGGTCCTGTCACACCAAGGAAGCACCGGTGGAAGCCCGCAGCCACCACCTACCTATGCAGTCGAACATCTCCATGGCCCCGAAACTGAGGGCTTGAACCAATCTTACAGAGCGCATCCAGGACACATCCAGGAAACACTCCCACACCACTACACAAGGAGTTACCGAATGCCCCATCGATCGGGTCCGCGTCTCATCCGCATCTTCATTGCCCACTGTCTTTGCGCCCTTCGTCCGGTCTTCTGATACCAACCCAGGCGCCAGATCACTGCACAGCATCGTCACACTCGACTACAATAGCCAGAACGAGCGACTCGCCGCCCACTTCACGCCTGTCTGAAGCAACCTGACCCGATCCCCTCGGCTATACTTGTCCATCTGCGACGTGCCGTGTCTGGGATCAGTGAGATGTGGTCGACCACACGGCGGGAGAGTGGGGGTTGACGCACGGCGGAAGCCAACGAGAACCAACGAGAACCAGGCCATTGCACAACGCAGCATTCTCCCGAAGAAGCGGCGTGGCGGCGTAGCTTTGGGGCTGATGCGAGATGCGAGCAAACAGCGAAAACAAACTGCGATCGGCCACAGTCACTGCCTGAACCACTGCAAGGTATCGTCATCTGGAGTCACACAGATCCCCCGGCCCGCCATACCTTTGCCAGCTCAACTCGCCCGTATCCCGCTAAAGATGTTTTCCTTTGCTAAGAGTCAATGCTGATTGTCGTTCCGTACATTCCGCATCGGTATTATTACGGTGGCCTTTTTCGTGTTTGCTTACTGTGTAAGTGAGCGAACTTCGGATCATCGGCCACCTAGGCTACTGACTGGCCATGTGTGGCTATGTAATCCACGCGAAGCTTCAATCGCGACAGAAAATATGCCTTGATCCTTACTGGTCTCCAACATGTTTCTTTTTGTCTTTTGCTACTCTCTTTTCTTTTTCCTTTTTCTTGTTTTCAACCTTCTCCGCCCAGCCTATCACCAGCCTCAGCTCGGAGGTTTCAACGCCCACCAATCCTGGGGAAACTGAAAGGGTACCTAGGTTGGCCAAACATGCTCCCGTCAATCATTCTGTGTACGTCAAGTGCGCTGCTGCGCTTCCAGAATATCATTGTCAAGCCGCAGAAATCGGTAATGCCTCGTTGCTAAATTCCAAGTCGGTTTCTAGTGTGACACTCCTCGGAATCTGACCGGCGACAGCAAGTGTTTGCCATTTGCTGTCGTTGCCGTCTACCGGCGTGCCTACTTACCTATACCTAGCAATGCGCCTACAAGTATACACGATACACCAGAGTCCCCTAGCCCTGGGCTCTTGGGATGACGTTTCAGTCGTGTACAATTTCTGAATGTTGCATGATCGATGAACATGGGATAAGTCATCTTCTCGGTCCTCGCCCGCGCGGGCCTTGACTCAGACGATACAGCGGAAGAAGAAACGCCCCAGCCTCAGCGCGAAATTGATTTGTAGATGGCTTCGTTCACTAGCTAGCCGACGTCCAGTTGGGCTGTTTCGCGACTACAGGTTGACCGTTCGCCGCAGCCACTCCGCCGCAGCCATTGGATCGCATTCTGAGACGAGTGAGATGGTAGACTTTGGAGATCCCAGCGGGTCCAGTTTATCAACGCAACGCTGGCGGACATGCTGTCTGTCCACACATCCTTCCGGCTGCCCTGGCTGCCTTAGCACGTCGATCTCCACCTCAGGGCACTGGTTCCAAACGTGCTCACAATTAAGAGAATCTGAAAGTTTCATGCCATTGCCACAGCGAAGCATGCGGCTTGTGGTGTGCGTAATATATTGCGAATCCTCAAGTGCAGAGTCGTAGTCCTGTCTCGAATCGCGGCTTGGTCAATCGCTGCCTCCCTTTGCTGGCCCAGGCTTTGCATGTATCCCCGAGAGCGAGGCACATCAGCTTACCATACCTCAGCTCTCGAGTCTATCCTCTATGAGTCGCTATCTACCGCCTACATCCCAATGATAGAAGAGAGCTATTTGGGGTCTTCAGTGCGATTATCTTGACAACACTTCAGGGCAAGCAGTCCCCTAGATCCCTGCCATTGTCATTCCAGCGCACGACATGATGTTCGGATACTAATAGACGAGTGTGTATGGACATCCATTTCAATTTATCGCAGCTTTCCACGCGGTACTGCCCTCTTCAAAGTTCAAAGCCCTCTTCAAGGTTATGATGATCCATTGAATGAGCCCCGGTGCCCGCCATTAGCCTCAGTGATCTGCAACCGTTTCCTGGTGTTTCCAATTGTTATCAGTTGCTTGAACGGCCCGTTTATCCTCAGTGATATTGCGGCCAGTCGACCTAGCGCATAACCAAAACATATCGCCCTGACAGGAAACGCATCATGTCTGCCACGGAAACTTTGTCTGAAGATCTGGACAGCTCAAACTGTCTGATTGCGACAAACGGTCTTGGTCTCCCGTCAGTTGCAATTGGATATTCCCTTCGGATCTTTCTATGATTGCAGTCGTACTACCTGCGAGCTCATGTGTCAGAAGTCCTCCATTTCGAGGGGCTAATACGCATGTGCCGCTGGCCAATCACTCTGAAATGTCAAGATATCTTCTTGCTCGCGCCGCCACGGGCCTGCCGCACCATTACGAGAATGTCGGATAAGCAAGTCAAGTGAATATTGATTGGAGATGAAGGCGACAGAAGAAGAAAGGCAAGGTCCACATCGGGGACAACCCTATGCCATGTCTCCAGTCTTAACTCCGCACATTGGCAAGGATCTGAAACGCAGCTGGTGGCTATTTTGCACCCTGTTGACTCGCACAAAAGCTACTGACATATCCATGCCCAACGGACTGGACTGACACGGCCAACCCAATCTACTTGTTGCAGTTGTCATTAAAATCCCAGCTCATCCTCGTCGTTGAGACCACAGTCATTGAGGGCGGCCTGCTCGCCCAAGTCCGCCAAAACCTTGCGAGAGCATGTCTCGCTGCTCCGGATAACCCGCCGGCATCCGTCCCGCATCCTAGCTCCTACAACATGGCTTCCCAATCGGGACTTGCCCAGAACCCGTGGCCAGTTCTCTGGACCCATGCCAAGCTCGTCAATACCGTCAACTCCGTCGATTCCCTCGATTTCAGCGCCCGAGTTTCTCTTGCGGCTGCCATGATCCTCGTTTTGTGTCCTCTTCCTCTTCCCCGCCAGTCGTCGGCCCACTTGGTCACCATTTGACTCACCCGTCGGTCTGGGACTTGCGAAAACCAGAGCCCCGGTTTTGTCGGCTCCTTCCGTGGTCGAATTCAGCTCCGATCGATCCGCTAGGACCCGGACGTCACTGTTACGTCCTCCGCTTCGGCGCCGAGGTAGGGCTTCTCGGGTGAAGTCTCCTTGCCTTCTCGCCAACGGGCTGACTGCAATCCATTCGCTGATGCCTTCTTCCCACCGAAACCCTGTAAAGTTGCCCTTGGCTACAACCATGCCGTCTTTCTCAGCCAGGTCTTTCTTCAACGTCTCTGCAAAGACAAGATCGCGTAGATCGTCTGTCTTGTGGGCCAAAACAAAGGCACCGTTGCCTCTCAATCTTGCGAACCCTGGCGTTTCAAGGGTATCGATGAGTTCGCAGACTTTGGCAAAGTACGAGTTGGATGGCTGGCCGGTGGCTCTCCCACAACAGTGAGCAATCGAGCAGGTGAAGTCGACGGTGGTGTCGAGAAGCTGGCTGTCATTGTTGCCCGTGCTTGGGGCTCTCCCCAGGCTCAGACCACGTCCGAAGCCGTCTATCGCCGCCTTCAGTCGGAGCCGAGTGGCTTCGTGCGCCGCCCTGGGGGATAGAGACAGAAACAATGCCAGTAGAAGTGGGAACGCGGCTTCCTTGCTACCGACACGACTTCTCACCAGTCTCAATGCTTGGTGGAGAATATGTACTACCGCTCTCTGGGTCCGACTTGTCGAACTTGCACTGGAACCGGGTGCAGCATGTCCGAAATCCTGCGAAATCATAGCCATGGCTGACAATGCACCAAGTACACTCATCAAAGTGAGTATGGCTGATTTTGATTCCGTTGTGAGCGCTGAGGAACGCCTTTGACGTCTCGGGTAGGCATTCATACACAGGACTGCAAGTCCGGTTGATGCGAACTCAGTTGCAGAAGGGCGTGCTCTTTTCTCGAGTACAGCGGAAGCTGCTATACTCCATAAGCCACCAAAACCTCTCCCTGTGACCATGTCAAAGGGGAGCCGTCTACGAACCAAAAGTGAGGAGAACGTTTCGAGCAAGTGAGATTCCACAACTGGATCCTCTGCAAGGTTTAACAAATAGGCTGGCAGCTGGCCTTCTCTGTTGACTCTAGGCGTATCTCTTGATTCCAGGGGCTTGCAGTAAAGGAAGCAAATCATAGCTTCCGTAAGGCTTGCTGTTTCGTGTAGAAATTGCATGGCCTTGCAATAATCGATCAAGATGCGAATAAACGAGACATCGAGCAGACCCTCCCCAATGACCCCTTTGAGCAGATGGATAGCATGTGCCCGTAGGAGTGTACGCAAGTGACTCCAGCCGTTGTCGGTGGCTCCAAGGGTCTGTAGTTCGTCGTACACGCGTAAAGAATAAGCCATTTGCTTGATACAGGACACCGGCCCGTTGTTCACAGCCTGAGATTTCTCCCAGTCTTCAATCTCTTGCGCGCACTGAGGCACTCTGTTCAGGCACATCGACAACAACGACTTCTTCCCGCCTGCAGGATGGTTGAGAATCGTCGAGCGTAGGAGAGTATCCAGGTCGTGTAAAATACCCTCGTAAATCTGGTACCTTCCCGGTGGCAGTGTGTCTCTGAGACGCATTAATTTGGATGTTGAATTGTCGAGTGGCCCACGTCTCGTAGTCTTAAAGCGCATACAGCTGCTCCCTGTCTCGTGGCATTCTGGTTGGTCAACACTCGGCGATGTTGTAATATGGTGCCTGGCTTTGCGAAGAATTGGCGTTGAGACGCTAGGCATTTCGGAAGCACAACTTTTCGGCCTTTGTCGAAGACTCCTGGGTCGGATAGTAGATTTTGATGCCATACTGCCGTCGTCTTCTGAGGAGTCAGCCAACTTCATGGAATATGTACGGCGCGGGCGCTGTCGTTTTGTCTTAGGGAAGTACGCTTCGACTACAAGGCTCGGCTTTTTGGCCGTTTCGCGATCTAGCGCATCTTTGAGGGCTTCATTCTCAGGCTGAGTCTGCCCGCAAGCAGCTCTCTCGGCTATTGCAACCTTCCGTAGCAAAGCAATCCGCGATTGAAGAGGGCGTAAAAGTCTTTGGCATCTCGAAGAAGTCCAAGGCAGGCCAGAATGGCCGAGGGGTCGGTTTCCATCTGTTTCTGCCCTGGTTTCTCTTCTCCGGTTCTTGTTGGTAACCTTCGCCATTTCTGGTCCACCAGTCCGTCCACTCATGCCGAAGTTAATATTCTGTTGTCGATAGTGCTGGGTTTGAAACATTGAATAACATGTGCTTTTGACATATGAGAATCCGCAGGTGTACGTTATTGGAGGATAGCGGAATGGTTTTGCTGCGTCGCTTGGTCAGTGTCAACGTGGATTGGTGTTGACGACTACACGAAACCGAAGCTGCTCAGATACGCAGTATGAGAGTAAGCTGAGTAGTAAGTGTGCTCGAGTGCTCGTAAATAGGCGTGTGATGTCAAGATAGCTGCTAACTAGAGCAATAGCGAATAAGGGCGCAGTGTGCTGATGTTAAGAACTTAGCTCTTGGTATGCTGAGTAGTTGATGAGTGAAGCTGGGACGGAATATGTCCAACACATTGAATGTTTACAAACTCCCCAATCAGGTATGGTGTGTACATAGACAAGGATTGTGCTGTCACCAAAAGGGACTAGACCACAAAGCGCAGCGCTAACTGAATGGTCACGTGTCCGTAGCGCACCTCAGCTCGAAAAACCTGGAGTATCCCCCCTCAGAGTGCCTTACGTAAGAACGGCTGGAGGGAAGCAACTTGCATTAATGGTCTTGTCCACCGCGGTGTAATCATGGTCACTGAGAACTCGACATGTCTCAGAAAGCGTTCAGCTGTTATTTCGGATAGATACTGTAAGTAACAATCCTGTACATGGACAGATACAATACGGGTTGTTTGACCCTTCAGAGGCAGAGAAGGAGGCACAGAGTTGATAAGGTACAGACTCTGGTGAGAACCGGGCCTCGCTACCGGAGGCTCTGTCAGGGCTCTCGCTACCTTCCGGGACAGCTTAGGGAGAACCGACGACAACTGACAGAGCTCCCTCAAGCGGAGTGGGCCCGAAAAAACCGACAGCTCCAGCTTTGCCGGGCCGGTGCATTGCCGTCAATTGATGAATGACAACGCGACTTTTTTTCTGCCGTGAATTTTTTTCCCCGATCGTTCCCAAACGGCACTCTACCCTCTCACCTTTTCTCTACCACCCCCCTTTCGATCCGCAACTGGCCGTTGAGTTGGAACCCTCTCATCCTCTCTTAGGCCGCCGAGTATTCCTTTCTGCCACCCGTCACTTCGGAGCTGCGCATCTATATTCCACAGACCGCTACTTACATCGTTCTACCCTATATTAATTGTGTATCTGCATTGATTTGTGCGATTGCTCAATTCTTCCCAACCCTCTCCACTTCGAAGCTTCGATTATATATCTATCCCCTCTCAGGATTTCTGTCCGTCGAGGAATATAAAATCCAGGTCCTTCTGGTATTTCTGCTTACATCGAGTACCAATGTCCCAATCCGATCAACCCAAAGGCAAAGGTACCAACTATCCACAAGCAAAACCAAGATACGCAATGCAATCCTTAAACAGTTCCAAGCTAAACTTTGAGTCCTTCCAGAAAATGCCGAAAAGGAGGTAGCGCCCCCCATTGAAGCCGAGGCCGAGCTCCAGGCTGAGGGCGAGATCGATCAAGGCCTAGACGGTGAGTAATGCAAGCTTTCATGGGGTTGGGACGTTAAATGCTGATGCATAGTAGCCTTGGTTACCCTTACGATCAAGCTTCCCAACGAGCCCCGTCAGATGCAAATTACGGTTAGCTGTGCTAAGTCCACTCGCGGATACATCCACTGACCAGTTTTGTACAGGTGTCCCCACAAGAGCAGGTTCACGAAGTTCGACAGTCCATCATCGACCTCCCTGTGGCATTCCAGTACACTTGCTTCCACCTGGAGCACCGCGGCCAACGCATCAATGACTTCCTCCCGATATCCGAGATCGAAGGCCTTGTCGAAAGCCCTGAAGTCACATTGGTCGAAGACCCATACACGGAGAAGGAGGCCCGTATACACCTAGTGAGAATCAGAGAGCTCATTGGTGCCGCTGGAGACCGCACCGACGCTGTCCAGGGCATTCTCCCCGGTCTCTCTCTGCTTGATAGTGTCTTGCCTCCATCCGAGGAACAAGCCAACGGAGGGCAGACGGAGGTTGCCAAAGAGACAAAGGAGGATTACAGCTTTGGGACCCCGGTTCCAATCTCAACTTTGTTGCCTCCCGTCGAGGAGGAAGAGGCACCCAAGACGGTCAAGACCATTACTCTTTCCCCGTGGAACCCGCCGCCGCCTCACCTCAAGCAGAAGGGTCATCTCTTGTACCTGCTTGCTACTACTAACGAGGGTGAGCAACACCAAATCACAGCCCATGTTGGGGGGTTCTTCATCAACAAGTCCTCCAATGCCAAGTTCGATCCTTTCCCTCGCCCTGCACCCAAAGCCGCTTCGAACCACTCCCTGCTCGGGCTCCTCGACCAGATCTCGCCGTCTTTCTCGGCATCCTTCCTCAAGCTCCAGGAGTTCAACAACCGCAAGGACCCGCTGGCGACTTTCCAAATCACCAACGCGATACCCTCTGCGCCATGGATCGTGCCGTCATCCAACTCTCCCCTCTCCGCTCACACCCCTGACTGGACACGTTCCCAGGAGACGTATCTCATTGCAGGCGCCGACAACACCGACACACTGAGAGACTGGAACGAAGAGTTCCAATCCGCGAGGGAGCTTCCCAGTGAGACTGTGCAGGACCGAGTTTTCCGTGAGCGTCTCATGTCCAAGCTCTTCGCCGACTACAACGACGCGGCCACTCGTGGTGCTGTGCTCGTTGCCCGTGGCGAAATCCCTCCGCTGAACCCTACGGAATGCAAAGATGCCCAGATTTTCGTTTACAACAACATCTTCTTCTCTTTTGGTGCTGATGGCGTGAAAACCTTCACTTCTGAGGGAGGCGACGAGGCAGCTCGTGTTGCCACTGGCAAGGACGTCGCAGGAGTGAGGCTAGTGAATCAGCTTGACATTGATGGTCTCTTCACCCCTGCTACGGTTGTTATTGACTATCTTGGTAAGCGTATTGTTGGCCAAAGTATCGTCCCAGGAATCTTCAAGCAGAGGGAGCCTGGCGAAAATCAGATCGACTATGGTGCCGTGGATGGCAAAGAGAACGTTGCGGCGGACGAGCGATTTGCCGACGTTTTCTCCAAGCTGTCTCAGGCTATCAAGGTCAAGAAGCATGCTGTCTGGGACAAGGATGGCGAACGATTCGATCTCGAAGCCAGCGTGGAGACCAAGGGCTTGTTGGGAACCGACGGACGCAAATACGTGCTCGACCTGTACCGTGTGACGCCACTGGATATTGACTGGCTCGAGGAGGAAGGTGATGTCGAGTACCCCCACCGTATGGCCGTCCTTCGTCCGGAGCTGATTGACTCATACGGGCGGAAGAAGATGAAGGCCTGGGTTGACGAGGAGCTGGCACGCCGTGGGCAGAACACCAAGACTGCGACTGACGAAACTACGGCTGAGCCCAAGAAGAGCAAGGATGCCTCCGCGAAGGAAGAAGACAGCGATGACAGTGACGAAAGCGACGACAGCGAGGAGAGTGAGAGTGAGAGCGGAAGTGAGAGCGAGAGCGAAGAAGAGTCGGAGGTCAACAAAAAGGAGGTCAAGGCGGAGAAGCCGAAGACAAAGGAGGCGGAGACACCGAAGGAGTCGACAGATTCGAAAGATCACATCGACCTTTCCAAATTCGCATTTTCGCTCAACCCCGATGTCTTCAGCGGTCAGGTCCCCCAGACTGATGCCGAGAAGGAGGAGATGAAGAAAGACGAGGAGGATGTTCGTCTTGCATCCAAGTACCTTCGCGACCAGGTCATTCCCGACCTCGTTCGTGAGCTTACCGATTGCGACATCAGCTTCCCCATGGATGGCCAGTCCCTGGGTCGTCTCTTGCACAAGAGAGGCATCAACATCAGGTACACTGGAAAGGTGGCACAGCTCGCTTCTGAACCTCGCCTGCAGTGCCTGAAGGATATTTGTATCCAGGACATGGTCGCTCGTTCCTTCAAGCATGTCGCCTCAAACTACCTCAGACACCTGCCGGCACCTTTCTCATCAGCCTGCATCTCCCATCTTCTTAACTGCCTCTTGGGTTACAAACTGAGCCCCAAGCCGGCGGCCGAATCTGACGCAGTCCTGAAGTCGCTGTACACTGATGCCGATCTATCCTTCGAGAAGGTCACCCCAGAGTCCCTCCACGAAAGCATCTCCCAGGAGACCTTGAAGAGATACCGGTACAAGCTCGATGCCGACTTCTACAACAACCTTAAGCCTCTGCAGGTGCTTCGTGAGATCTCCCTCAAGCTTGGTTTCCAGCTGCAAGCAAAGGAGTACAACTTCACAGACAAGCCGGTTGAGCAGGCTCCTGCGACCAACGGTACCCCTGCGACCAATGGACAGACCAACGGGGAGGGAAACAAGAAGAAGAAGAACAAGAAAGCGGCAACCAAAGAAGCGGCTACCCCAGCCCCGGCCCCTGCTCCCAACACTACATTCACAG